ATTGACAGGTCATGTCCACTTGCCTACATGGCTGGCCATACCTTAATCTCCTGCCTCAAAGTGAGCTGCTCCCTCTGCCATGCACTCCCACCTAATCACAGGCCCAAAGGCAACAGGGCCAAGTGACTATGGACTGAAACCCCTGAAATTGAGCAAAAATAAACCTTTCCTCCTTAGAAGTTTCCCCTCTCAGGTATTTTGTCACAGTAACGAAAAGCTGACTAGCGCAGGCAGTAACACATGGGGTTTGTAATCAAGTAGCTATGGTCAGGAAACAACTGGAACTTGGTCCAAAAAGGACTCTGGGAGCTCCCACTCCCACACACAGTGGTGACAGGACTTTGAAAGCTTTGGACAATACAAACAGCCTGCTGGGGCACATGTGCCCATAGGTTCACCTCTACTACCCAGGAACCACACTAGGAGTTAAAGTTTAGCTCATAGCCCTGCTAACTGGGAGCACACGCCACCAGAAAGCCCAGGCATCCCTGGATGATAGTGTTAGGGAGAACTAGAGTAGATTTGGGGCTTGTATTAGGTGATTTGGAAGGGTTTTGTGGAAGCAGGAATGAATTGGATAATATTAGGAAATGGAATCAGTTCTATGCTTGGGTATCTTAATAGGAAAAAATTTGTTTGTGTATGTGATTGAAAACAGGGCCTTTGTACTGAGCCACAAACCCAGACCTTCAAAAAAAAATTGTTTTTGTTTTGAGGCAAATTCTAAGTCATTAAGTTGCCCAGACTAAGCTCAAACTTGGGGTCCTCCTGCTTTAGCCTTCCAGAGTGCTGATATTACAAGCATGTGCCACCACACCCATCCGGCAATCTGAATACATTTTATTAGAAAAAAGAAGAATAAAGCAAGGCCAGCACTATCAAGAACCAGGAAGGGGCAGCCATTTATAACACCCAGCTGCAAGAGTTGCATCTGTTTTATTGATGGTTGATTGATTGATTGATTGCTGGGGATCAAGTTCAGAGCCTCTCCCATGCTAGGCAAGTGCTCTACCATTGAGCTGCATCCTACCCTTGAACCTGTTGTAGGTCAATCAGGTTTATTATTATTCAGCATGGTGACGCCAACAAATCAGAAGGCAACCACCAGTGAAAACAGTGCGATGCTCACATTTCTTTTGAGGAGGACCACACCATGCCACGGAGGCCATACATAGAAGCCCAGGTCGGTCAGCAAGCAGGGGGACAGGAAGAGAGCCTTGTGGTGGAACAGTCAAGGGAAGGTGAACAGGCTCAGGACTGCTGGCTTGAATAGTTGTAGTGGAGGGTCTATAATAGTTGAGACAGAGGGTCTTGGCTGCTCTTACCAAGTGGGTTCAAGTTAAGTTTTCATTCCTTGCAAATGACTAAGGCAAACACATGGCAAACATCTGACTCACAGGCCTGAGCTGTTTCCCATCTGTTATGGTTTGTATCTAGATGTCCGCATCCCCCTCACCCCCCCCAAGCCTCATGCAGTCATAGGCGGGGATTTTTGGAGGTGGCTGGATCTAGGGTGTGATGCTGGGATTAATAGTGTGAAGTTGGGATTAAAGGTGCCCCACCCTGAGTGTGAGTCATACTCGCCCTAAGGGTGGGTGGCCTGGATGGAATATAAGGGACAGAAAGAGGGCTGCTGCCATCACTGGCTGCAACTGCTTCTGCTGCCTCCTACCTGCCTTGCTTTGCCATGGACTGTTTCTCCTCTGTGCGCCACCCTGCCTTGGAGCCAGCAGATTATGGACTGAAACCTCTACAAACTGTGAGCCAAAATAAACTTTCCCTCCTTTCATTTTGGATGTTGGGTGTTTTGTCCCAGCAGTGAGGAAAGTAACTAAGACACCATCTATAAAATTAGGGACAGTAAAGCTCTATCCAAGTAGCTGGGTGAGGTCCAAGTCCAGATATGGAGCCCACAGATGGCCCTTCCCATCCTCCACTTCCCTCCAGAGATGGTGGCTTAGTCCCACCCATCACAGGCTCCATGGGCATTGAAACATCACACCGCATCATAGAGGCAGGAGTCGGACCTGTCAGCTTTGTGGGTGGGGAAACTGAGGCAAAGAGAACCCAGGTCTTGCAAGCTGAGCCCACATAGACTCCAGACCCCAGCTCTGGCGCGGGTTGAGCTGTGGGGCAGACCTTTAGCCTCAGGCCTCAGTTTCTTCATCTGTAAAACAAGAGACCTCCAAGCAGCTCCTGAGGCTGACTTTCTGATGTCTCTATTTAGATGGGCCTGAGCCAGCAGTACAGGACGTTGGCAGCCACCCCCACCATGCCTCCCCAAAGTGCTCTGCACATCCAGCTGCCCCGTGCTGTCGGGACCTTTGGGTTCAACCCTTTTCACAAGAAGGCAGGGACAGACTGCACCCCGGAGAGTGAGTGACAGGGACTTAGCTGACCAGAAGCTGGGTGGGGCAGGGCCAGGATCAGTGAGCAGGCAGGTCTGAGACACGGAGCCCTAGAGATGATTAGGACTGAGGCTGTAGAGGTGAAGGGGAAGCCAGAGGGGAGCTTGGAGAGGTGGGGGAGGGAGGGCTCTTGGGCTTCTCCAGTGACCAGGCCCTTGGGGCTGGCCTGGCTTGCTGGGCAGGTGCTGGGCATCAAAGAAGCTTAACAGCCTTCTGAGCATTAAATTTCTGGTTGCCCTTGACCCACCTGGGCACTTTCTTACCTCCCAGCTTAGCTAGGAGCAGCTCCTGGCCCATGAAAACACAGACTCACTACCTGAAATTCTATCCTCGGTAGGGGACACCTTAGATCACAGTAATGAGGTGTAATCCTAACACCCCAGTAACCTTGCATGGGACAGTTCCCTTCTCTGAGTCTGAGTTTCCTCAGCGTAAAATGAGAGGTCAATCTATATTCTTTTCTGACAAGTCAAATCAGAATGGCCTTGAGAATATTTGTAATTATTTACTTTCAAAAATCTGTGTTTTCTGATTAGAGAACAGATGTACGTTCATGTTAGCAAATTCAGAAAATACAGAAAAGAGTCAAAGACAGGAGGAAAGATCACCAACCTGACTTCTGCTGGCAGGCTGCGTCCCCAGCTCCAGATCAGGCCCGATGTGTAGGAGGCGCTTCAGGCCTCCTGCTCCGTGAGCCTGTCACCCCCTCCACTCTCCAGGGTGCTTTGCAGCCTATTTTCCAGCCATCATTCTGGAACCAGAGGCTGGCAGCTCTCTGTGGCCCAGGCTGACTCATCTGCTATTGCAGGTGGAGCCAGTCAGGACACCCGGATCCTGGGTCAGAGCCCGGGTCCAAGTAGGGCCAGCACCCCGCCCAGCTCCTCTGCTGGTACCTCCCACGAGGCCAGTGGTAAGATTAGTGGGGCTCCAAACCACCTGGCAGAAATACTGTTGGGAAATTTTTTTCTTCCCTAAGATCCAGCTTGTTGAAGCTGTAAGTTCATGTTGTTTCTTCAGTTCCTTTTAATTTTAAAAGATAATAAATTTTGAAAAGAGGAAGCCCATGAGTCCTTCATGCCTCCTTGACTCGTATCCTTTGGCAGTGGAACTTGATGCACTTGCTCCACTGTAAAAGGATGAAAATCTCATTTTCCCATTGACTAGAAACTCAAATCAATAATTTTTTAAAAAGCATTTTATTGAGCTGCAGGTATAGTTCAGTGGTACAGTGTGTTTGCCCGGCATGCCCAAGGCTGTGTGTTTGATCCCTAGCACCACAACAGAAATGAAATAGCAGGTTTACATTTGTGCAATTCTTATGCAACTTAAGGAAACCTATCAAGCTGAGAACTTTACCACCAGCAGCAGCTGGCTAAGGCGTGGGGCGTCCTCCTAGGTCACAGTGCCCGCAGATGCTCCCAGGTGACTGGGAGCTTAAAGAAGACCTCTTGTATGACTCGGCACCTCGGCTAAAATGCTGAGCCCCCGGGCCAGGGCCTCCTCTTCCCCTAGAAATCTCTGGCAGCACATATGATACCCATTTTACAGGGCAGACGCTGACATCCAGGGCTTCCCTGCCTCCCTGGATTCTTCCCCACTGCTTCTCTTGTCCAGAAGAGTCCACCGAGAGAGTCCTGAATGCTCCTAGACACAAACCAAGACCTGGGGAGACGGTGGCTTCCACCAGGTCCCGGACTCTGGGCTGCCTCCGGCTTCCCATGATAGCAGCCCGCACTTTCCTTCCAGCCTCCTCTGCTTCTACCACGGCACAGATGACACGGGCTGAGCAGGCCTGGAGACAGTAGCTCAGGATGGGTCTGCCAGGGCACAGGATCAAGGAGGGCTCCCTGGAAGCGGAGGTTAAAGCCAGGAGGGTGAGGCATAGCCAGCACTGCTCCTATGGGTCTAGACATGGAGAATCTGGGGACTTGAACCTCTCTGCTCCAACCTGGGCCTGATGTAACAGTTTACATACAGCCTCTTAGTTACTAACCCTGGGAGAGACTCCACCCCTCGGGTGGGAACTTTAAGGCTCAGTCCAAAGGCACCAGCCCTGCCCACAGGGGCAGGAGGCCCATCAGTCCAGGTCTCCTTTCTTCAATAGCAGTCTGTTGTCATTGGTGTGCTGGTACCTTTCCTCCTGTGTGCCTCAGTTTCCCTCCCTGCATGTGGTTGGGGTGGATGTGCCATAGCAGAGGTCTCAGAAAAGGCAAATGGACAGCACAGTCTGGGGCTCAAATAAGCCACTGGCCCACCTCCAGATCCTTCCTGCTGCTTCTGAAGATGGCTTTGGTGGCAAGGGGATGTGCAGGCACAACAAGGTGTACTGTTTCCGGTAGATTGTGACAGAGTCCTTGGTCCAGCCCTGCTTTCCTAACAAGATGGATGGGGGCCCAGCGCCCCACACCGGAACATTCAGAAATGTACATGAAGCATCAGTTGCTGGGGTAAACATGCTCTCTCTCCCCTTGAGACCTCCTGTCAGGGACTGAGCTGCGCCTGCTGAAGTCCCAACCTTCAGGGCCTGTGAATATGACTTTATTTGAAGATAGGGATTTTTTTTTTCAGATGTAATCAAGTTAGGATGAGGACATGCGGGTGGGTCCTACCCTAATCCAATATAACCCGTATCCTTTAAGGGGAAATGAGGCCCAACACTGGGGAGGCTGAGGCAGGAGGATTGCTGCAAATCAGAGGCCAGCCTAGGCTTCAGAATGAGTTCAAGGCTAGTCTGAGCTACATAGTGAGATCTTCTCTTAAAAACAAAACAAAACAAAACAGGAAATGAGTCCCAGAGAGATGCACACAGAGAGTGCTGTGGAAAGACTGGAATGAAATGGACAAGGAAAGGTGCTCCTTTGGAGCTTTGGAGAAATGCAGCCCTTCCGACACCCTGGCCTCTGATTTCTGGCTTCCTGAGTGGTGAAATTATAAATTTTATTATCAGATACTCTGCAGTCCTTTGTTAGACAGGTCTTTAATGATTAGGACTTCTGGAGACCTGAGCCAAGAAATGATGGTGTGGGAGCCAGGTATAGCAGAGCATACCTATAATCCCAGCACTCAGGAGGCTGAGGCAGGAGTATAGCCACAAGTTCAAAGCGAATATAGGTTACAAAGTGAATTCAAGACCAGCCTGAACTACATAGTAAGACCCTGTCTCAGAAAACAAACAAACTAAAGTGGCGGTAAGGGAAGTCGAAGCTCCAATACATTCAGTAATCCAAGGGCTGCCCCAGATCTTCCCTCCCAGCCCCTCACTGCACCTCTAGGTAGCAGCTCACCCCTTGTAGTGCATGGGTGGAGGGCACCCAGACAGGAAGCTGCACAAGCCTAGGTGATGGGCTCAGGGCCATTTGGCAGGGAATTCTGGGATCCCAGGGTGTGCTCTGGAAGGGACTGGGGTCAAATGTGGATGATACTGCGCTTTCTGATGTGGCAAGAGCAAAACAAACCCTGATGGAGACGCGGGTGGAGGGGAGCTCCTCATGTGTGGTACTGAATCTCAGACTGCGGGCTCAGAGAGCGGCGGGGCAGGATGCCTGCCTTCCCGGGACCCTGCTCCGTGCTGCCCTACATCGCACTCATCCGTCATCTGCTCGCTCTCCGCAGCCAGCCCTGCCAGCCTGGGCCATCTCCCTCGGCATCCTGGGATTCCGGCTGTCCCTGGAGCTGCCAAGCACACTCTCACCTCGGGACCCCTTGCGTTCCCCGGCTCTGCCCTATCCTCATCTGCTCCTGAGAAGGAGCACACAGACCAGGAGTCCGAGACACTCTCCCTCGGTGGTCATCGTGAGGGGCTGCCCTTGAGCATGCATCTGCTCAGGGTCAGAGGGAGAGGAAGGGGTGGACTACAGCTGTGGGGCCACCCACAGGCTGCTACGGGTGGATCTGGGCAGGAGGGGGTCAGCCAGCAGGGGAGGTCCCCAGGGCTGTGTGTGGCCCTGGGGTTTGAATGGTGCTGTCAACAGCAAGGACTGCTCTGGGCTCTTCGGAGGGCCTGCCTCAGGGTCCTCAATAAGCCACAGTGGTGGGGAGAGGAGGTCGGAGGGACAGGGGGAAGTGTGCTCTCTGTGTTTCGGTACTAAACATATATTTAATAAGAAAACTCCTGGAAAACGTATTCGGAGCGGAGGTGGAAAGTACAGGGCCGGTTAGGCTAGGTGAGCACCGGGCCAGGACTCCTCCCGGTCCTACCGATCCGGACTCTCACCCAGCCTCCAAAGGCCTGGCCCCGCCCCAAGGGGGTAGGCGGGACGC